ATGTAGAAAACAGGACTATCCATTGAAACCCACAAGCAATAGCTTGGAGAAATGGTATCTCTAAGGCTCAGGTAATGGAAAAGAAGGAACTAGTACATTCAAGCCACTTCCTATCAGGTGAGTCACAGCTGTTTGTACTTGAAGCTAACAGTGACCACAACAAAGTGCTCTAATCCATTTTGGCTTGAGTTTGCTGTTAGGCAGGATAGGCTTTGGGAAACACAAATGCTGAACCCTCACCAACTGAATTATGGCATGAATCACCAGAGTTGTACAATTTATTTGAAGTCAAAATTACATAAATCAGAAAAAAAAATTGCCTTCCCCTTACTTTGCGTTTGCTTTTATATATACGTTCCTGTTTGCTTTTATATATACGTTCAACATTTACAGAAACACAAAAATTCCGTTTGTAGTTGTCTTTTGAGCTTTGTCTGTCTTGTGTCTTGGGCCATAAATGATGACAAACAGTATAATTCACGGGTGCATAAACACTTTTCTGTAAAATGTATATGAAATGTCATAATCCTAGGTGATACAGAGCATGTTGAACTCCATTCTGTACAACATATATTTAATGAAGGGTTTTATGGGCAATGGATGATCCTTAAAGTATTAGTGATAGCCAATAAATTTTGATTACCTTTAGTGACTTAGCTACAGAGAAAGGAAAACCCATAATTGTCAGGCTCAGATTGTGGGCCCACAAAGTTTGTTTTCAAATAATGAATTATAAGTAGTAAAAAAAAAATCACAGATTGTGTCAGGAGTTTGTTTGAGTGTTGACACTTCCTTAGAGCATGTGGGCGTTCCAGATGCCTTATAGAAGAGGACTTGTGTTTTCTCTTGAAATTTGAGCAAGATTTATTACATTTTATTGTCAAGTGATTCCATCTCTTTCATTTCTTTTTTCCCTCTTAGTACAGAAACAAACAAGGAAGTAAACACTTAAAATTTTGAAAAACAAAAATCAAGTATCCTCATGTTGCCACTTAGTTTCTCTAAAAAACCCCTTTACTGGATATAGTTCATTTAAAAGACAAAAAAAAAAATCATCAAAATACTGTAATACCCTGCAAATATCAAAGAGGGATGGAAATACAGATATCTGTTCAATATCTCAATTTTAGATCAATCACAATCATACTGCTGGGTAGACTGTACATTTTACCATATACATACTTCTATCTCCATATGTGTATGAATATTTACAAAGAAACTTTATGAGCACATGCACAATAATAAAAATGTCTTATGCAGCCATTGTAGTTATTTGAGGTCTAGAACCCTATCAATATCTTCCCAGACACATGCTGCCAATATTGCTAAAGTGGTCAGTGTCACCATTAAAAATGTCATAATTTGAAAGTTTGTGCTGGAGTACAACCTACTTTCCTCCTGATTATGATTTATGGAGAGAGATAAGTGTGTTTCAATCCATCAAGATTAAACATCAGTGAATGTCTGTGTTTAGGTTAGAGGGTTAGTAAGACCAGGACTAGAAACTCTTCTAAGAATTGACAAAACCCCTTATTAAAGCAGTGCAGTATTTGGGTTCTGTTTAAAAGGAAAATAAATAAATAAAAGCTTGGATCTACGTCACGGGTAAATGGCAGAAAAAGTGTCACATGCTTTCTTGTGCACAGCAGTCTAAAAGCATATCCAGACTCACTCTGTCTGAAAGCAACTCCGGGCTCTGAGTTGCTTCTGTTCTATGTATCTGTTGGCCACACATTGATCCCTTGGCTTTGGAATGAAAGTGGTGTATCAGTTCTCATGAGGTCCTGCTACAAGTTTTTATAAAGAAGTCTCCTCAAAGAAACAACCAAGTTAGGCATGCATGGGTCAGGCTATTGTCTTTGGTCAAATATATATATATATATATATATATATATATATATATATATATATAAAGATAGAATTTATAGACTATGACTGCAAATTGATTACCTTCTTAATACAATGCAAAGTTCCACCAAAGATTATTTTATGCAAAAATAATGAGCAATTCCTAAATTCCTAGAGAAACTCTTGTTTTATGGAAACAAGAAGGTAAATGTTTTTGGAGACTCATCAGCTAAGTTCTTGTCATTGAACCATCAAAACTACAAGCCTCCCTTGTCTCCTATTGCCATTTCAAATTATGCAGGGCCACACACTCACTGAGAGAGAATTTTTCTCTCTTCTTGCCATTTCACTTTTTCAGTGCCAAACATCTCCTGTGGCTGCCAATGAATCAAGTTTTCCTTCCTCTCCTCCCCTGGAAGCTCATACTCCCAGCAAAATGTCACAAATAAAGTGGGAGCATGCCTTTCCCAGGCTAGACTTACAAACCGAAAGCAGCAGCACTATTCTTCCTCAGGACACTGACCCACAAAGAGGACTGGATTCAGTTAAAGAGACTGAGAAGAAGGTCAGCTAAGAAAACAAAGGTAACCCTCTCCACAGTGACTTCAGATAGAGCTAGAACCAACCTCAGAAATAGAGCCTTGTCTCAGTCAAAGCCATGAAAAGGAGGGCATGTTAGGTGAGGTCTAGAGAAACCATGTACTCCCATCGGTGGCTTATTTGCATGCTGTTTGTCTGTCTTGCCCTTCTCCCACGATTAAGTGATGCCACATCTGTTACCTCTTCTCATAGACTCTATTCCTACACCATAGTATCTGATAAAGTGGGATACTTCAAAGAAGTAAACAAATAACTCCATTTTCTTTGAGCATTTGTCATGCAAAACCCCTATATCACACACAGATATTTATGTAAGGAGGCTGCCTCTCTTCTATGTAGAATTCTGTGGGTACACTACATGAAAGTGCCAGCATCCCATTTGTTCGAACATGCTGTTAACATGTACATGCTTCTCTTTAGGATGCAGGTGATGTTGACTTACAAAGACATCACAAACTTTTAAAAAATTTAAATGCAAAGTTTTATATGTTGACAGTAGACAGGGAGCTCAACTTCAGTCTTGTGATCTGTGAAAGTAAGTCACTTCTAGGGCACGTATAAACACAGTTTTGCTGCTAGTAAAGGGTTAATGATGCTGGGAACACTAATGTCAGCAGCTCAGGCGGCATGCTTGTGTGTTTGCAAAAAATATTTTCTGCATTATGTCCAAATCCCTGTGCAAACAGATAAATTACCCTATAAATCGTATTACTCCGTGCGGATAAATCACACATGCACGTTTACAAAGCTGGAGAGCTACAAGGGGAAGTCAGCTCTGGCTGGGAGGTTATTTAGGATTCATAATCACTCAAAGCTCAGGAAATGAAGAAAGAAGTACTCACATGCTATCACTTGCTTACTTTTTACCATCTGGAACAGCACATGTACCTACAGCACACACATAACACACAACACATCACACCACACACACACTTTCATCTCTAACAAGGCCAGAGATCCCCAAGCAGGGCGTGCTGTGACAGCCAACCGAATTTATTTCTGGGAAAAGAAAAGAAAACTTTGCTGCTGTCGGCAGCTCTGCCACAGAACTGCTCCCTCATGCCCTGGGGTTTATGCGTTATCAGCTCCTTGCACACAGATTAGGGGTTGATTTTCTATGGCATACTGTTTTTTATTGCCACGACCAGCAATATTACCTAGATAGACAGACCAACACCGGGGTCATTATATTTGGAGGAAATGAGATTTTAAAAGATCTCCAAGGAGAATACTTTCTCTCTCTCTCTCTTTTTTTTTCTTTCTCTTTTTCTATTATTATCTGCTAGAGAGTCAAGCAAAGCTGGGGAGGGGGAAGGTAGAAGAAAAATACAGGAAGGAGGCTTTGAGCTTGAAGGAAAGAGAATAAGGACTAGGTACTGTCCAAGTCTCTCTACCTCAGAAGGGTCAAACTCTCAAGGACTTGGGATGCTTTTCCAAATTTCCATCCCAAATTATATTGCAGGGCTTGGCAAAGCTGCATAGGCATAAGACATTGAACTCAATAATCAATTTGTAGCATCTAATGCAATGCCAGGTTAATGCCTTCTCCACCTCTGTGTTTAAGTTTTCTATTCTTAACGGCCTGCCATTAGGCTAGATCCCCTTTCCCCCTTCATTCTTCCGTTGATTTCAATCCACATTCCAAAAAAAAAAAGCCTCCATAATCATCCAAAGTTATAAGATTGATTTATTGCCTATGATGTCAATTCAAAGATCTTTACAGAAAGTCTTCTATCAGAACTACTGCTAGGGCAGACTGAGCCTTGCTGAGCAGCACACACACACACACACACACACACACACACACACACACACACACAC